ATAAGATAAGATAAGATAAGATAAGATAAATGTGAGTGCAGCCTGTGTCAGTACCCAGGCAGTGCTGACCCCCGCAGCCTCTGTAGGTGTGGGTGGGAGCCACAGGTGACTTGGCAGCCGCTTTGGGCACTGGGGATCCTTTGCAGGCTGCTGTGGGGTTCCTGCTGTGCACACCTCACAGATACCATGCGTTACAGGTGGCATTTTGAGCTTTGAGGCAAAATTGTCTTAAAGCACCTGTGAAGATGCTCGTCTTCGCGGCACCCTCGGGGAGCTCCAGTGTCCCAAGGTGGGGACAGAGCCCCGTGTAAGACCTGCCCTGCAGCAGCTCCATGAAATTCAATTTATCTCCTGCCTAGAGAGAAGAGCTGAGTCAGCCACGGCTGGGTGTTTTAAGTGGATAGAAATGCCGTGTTGTATTTCAGGTCTCACGCCCAGGATTTGTAAGCTGTTCCCCATGGATTTCTTTTAGCTGGTGCTTGAAATTAAAAGTGGTTGGACCAGACATCACTAGAGCTGGAATTATGCATGAGTTGGTTAGAGGTGAATTTGGAAGCTAGTATTTATTATCCACACTTCTTTTCTAGTTTATAAACAGCGACTGGATTTTTGCAGAGGCAGAAAGGGACCGGGAGCAGCCAAACCCACGCACACATCCTCGCTGCTGGTGTCCCTGGGGAGCAGAGGGGTTGAGGAGAGGGGCTGGGGGCATGGGGAGCAGAACAAGACTGTCCTTGCCTGCAGCTCCATCGTGAGGGCCTGGGGCTGCCCCTCCTTGTCCCCACTGTGTGGTGGGTGCAGGTCCCACCGTCCCCTCCTCACTGGGAGGCACTGGTCTGGCCCCAGGTGGGACTGTTGTGTCCCTGGTGCTCAGGGAATAGGGAGCAGTAGCTGGAGATGTGGTGTCCTGGCCCCCCACTGCCACTGTTGCCCCCCCATCCCCAGCATCACCCAGCCAGGAGCCATTGCCAGGCTCCTGGCTTCATTCCTGAGCTGAGAATGGCTTCATCAGCCCTGGCACAGCCTCCCAGGGGAAAAGGTAATTCAGAAGGAAAGGGTCAGGAGATGGTGGGGCAAAGAGGCAGGGCTGGGGGCTCTGTCCTGCCAGTGGGACAGCAGCAGGGGACACCGTGGGGCTGGAGGGGATGAAAGCCACTTTGGTTTTGGTCAGCCCCAAATCGGCCGCTGGTGGGGAAAAGTGAACCACCTGCTCTTTCTGTTCCCGCTCCTGCTCTTTGCCATGACAACCCCAGGAGGTTGCTCCATCCTCCTACCTCAGGCAGGATAAAGGCAAACTGCAGTGGTGCTGGGGCAGCTCTGCCCCTGGGCGAGGCACTTCTCGGGTAATGCCAAGCAGGCAGCAGCATGGGGGAAATACAGCTCCTTTGGGGCAAGAAACCCCTAAACCCGAGCTTTTACACCCAGCCTTGCTTCCCGCTGCCTTATTCACCAGCTCTTTGCTGCGTCTATGGTGTCCTGCAGGCAGGGCAGCCCCACGCCGTGCCCTGACGCTGCCCTGTGTTCTGTCCCTTGCAGCGTCCCCGTTCATCATCGCCATGCTCCTGGCCAGCCTCAACAGCTGCTGCAACCCCTGGATCTACATGCTCTACACGGGGCACCTCTTCCACGACCTGATGCGCCGCTTCCTCTGCTGCTCGGCGCGCTACCTGAAGGCGCGTCCGGCCTGCGAGCTGAGCGTCAGCAAGAAGAGCAACTCCTCCTCCTTCGTCCTCAGCTGCAAGAGCACCAGCCAGCGCAGCTTTGTGCAGCCTCCTGCGACGTGAGGCGGTGGCCGGCCGGGGCCTCGTGCTGTCGTAGTGCGGCCTGTGGCGACGCCGGGGTTTGGACAAGCGAGGGGGCTCTGTGTAAATAGGTGTATATATGTCTGCGAAGCATGTGCAGTGGTCGGTATTTAACTGGGGCAGGAGGACTTCTGTGGTCCTGGATTCAGTGTGAGTTCTGTGGTCTCAGTTTCAGAGCTGCCTGGGACTGGACACCAGGAACCTGCCTCGGAGCCCCCAACCCCCTGACATCGGTGGCTTTTCGATGCCGCCGGGAGGGACAGGTTTTTCCCCGAATGACCCTGTGCTTCTGGGGCGGGTGCGCTACGTCCCCATCGGATCAAGGGGCTGCAGCACAGGGTGATGGGTGCCACTGTGGCAGTGGGGATCCCGCGGGATACATGGAGGGGCATAGCTGTGGGTGCTGTGCTCTCAGCTTGGGCCCTCTTGCTTCGCTTGAAGCGCTGAGGGGCAGGAGCAGCCCCATCCCTGCATCCCTATATCCCTGCCTCCCTGCATCCCTGCCTCCCTGCATCCCTGCATCCCTGCATCCCTGCATCCTGTATCCTGTTGGGGATCTGTGCAATAACACGTGTGCTGAGTGTGCTCGCAGGCTTCTCCCGAGGCAGGGGTGCGGGATTGCAGCTGTTCTCCATGGGGTTTGATGGGTAAACTCCGGTCGAGGCCCCCAAGGCCAAGCTTTTGCTTTGGGTTTTCCCGATAGCATTTAGTCTTTTACACCAATGCAGTTTTTTTGCTCTGTAACGCACAAGGTCGTGCTGACGGCATGGATTTTTTTATTGTTAAGAAATACCTGTAAATAAAGTTTTCTGACTGTGGCTTGATGGACAGCAGGAGGGGAAGCACAGGAGGAGCACTAAATTACAACAAAAATGAAGGAAAGCGATGGGAGTCAACACTTTTAACACAAGACCCAGGTGTGTGCGGTGTAATGATGCCTTTGTTCCCGGAGCACGGCGGGTCCATACCCTGCATTACCAGGCAGGGGTGAGGGCATTTCTGGCTGGGGGTGGTGGGAGCTTTCCCGTGGATTCGGTGGCCGTGGGACCCCGCAGGTGCAGCCGTGGTCGCAACCGGGTGCTGCTGCCTCTGCCCAGTCACTGTGGGCTTCAGTGGCCGGGAGATGTGCAGAAGCAAGGCCCCCCCATGCAGCCAAGGGGAATATGAGGGGAATGATATGAAAAATGCATTTAAACGTGTACTTTATTTTGTCACTGCCACCAACAGGTACATTTTCACCTTTGACTCCTTTGATTTTTTCCCAGCAGCTTTAGGGGAGCTCTCAGGACGTTTGCTGGGTACAACCCAGCACTCAGTCCCAGCATCTTTCACTGGGCTGGTGTAAATCCCTAGGGCCACACATCACAGCTTCCTCCTGCCCTCGCCGCCTTTCTCCTTGAGAGTAATGGCCCCGTGCACAAAATGAGGGGTGGAGAGGGGCCCATTTGATTGTGACCACGGGGGCCAGGCACATCCTCCATCTGCCAGGAAGGGGACACAACGTGGGGATGCATTTTACCAGGAGGGACGCAGAGAGGGGTGCAGTCAGGCAGGGCCGTGCCCCGTGTGTGGGGATGCTGCATCCTCAGCCAAGCTCCCACCCCAAAACGGGGATGGGGAGGGGAGCTGCAGGGTGGTGGCAGTGGGAGGAGAGTGGTGGTGCTGCCCAAAAGCGTTTCGTGAGGGTCAGAAGCGGAGGAGAGGTGCCGAGATGTGAGTAGTGTGGGCTCCACGTTCAAGGGGCCCATAGGCCGCTGTGGTGGGGAGATGAGAATTTTGGAGGCTTCTTTTGGGGTTCATGCTGTGAAAATAATATAATCCCAGTATTGTTTTTAATTATTTTTATTCCCACAAAAAGCTTTAAAAAATGCTTGTGATAAAAGGTTTATGGAGAGTTTTTTTCCATTACAAATATCTGAATAGCTTTATATACCTTTTTTTTTAATTACTCCGTCCGTCTCGAGGCCTGGTGTTGCTGGAGCAGGGGTGCTCTGTTGCTACGGAATAATGAAGGTCCACAGTCCCAGGCCACTGGAAGAGCCCCAGTAGGAAACCTGGCTCTTTCTCGTCCTTGGCATGGCACCACAAGAGACGTTGGCTCCGGGTCCATTGTGGAAGCCAAAGGGAACAGGGACATGAATGCAATTGAGAGTAACCTCTGCGCAAGACGACCTCCTGGGCCCTGGTTCAGTAAAGCACTTAAAACACCGAAGGGTTTCAGTGCCTCAGAATTAAACACGGCTGCAGGAAAGATGGGCTGAACAGACTGACTGACAGTGCAGAGGGGAAATGGTGCCGAATTGGGCTTTTTCCCCTGTGTTTTCCCTGTGTTTTAGCCCCTAAAGCAGGGCAGGGCACGCAGAGGACAGTTGGGTCCTGACCACGACACGTAACGATGCCCTAAAATTAAGCAGCAAGTGTCACACTGCAATTGCCAGTGGCTCGGGCTCAGCACGTGTGCCCAGAAGGCAGACACAGCGTTACGACATGCACTGATCATCTGGGTTTCAACGCTTTGCTGAAATACAAACACACATTAAAAAACAAAGTTTGTTTTCGCTACTCTAGCCGTAAAACTTTTGCGCAGCCTGATTTGATACAGAAGCTCCACAACAATTACTTGCAGTGAATAGTAACGGATACGCAGGCGTCTCTCTCGGTGCCACGCTGGGATTTGGTCTGCTGCCAGCAGCGTCCCTGCACCTCACTCCGCAGCCGCAGGTCACAGGGCTGTGGTCCCTCCCGTGAGGATAGGGGTCCTGGGGGGCTCTCCCCAGCTGCTTGCTGAGCCGACGTGGGTTTTGGGATGTAGCAGGGGGCTGCCTGATGTGCCTCTGTCTGCAGGGAGCATCCCCAGAGCAGCTCTGCCACAGGTCCATGGGCACCCAGGGGGTCCCTGGGTGTTGGGGTCCCTGGGCCCGAGGGCAAGGTGGGCTGCAGGAGCCAAGGATGCCCATGCAAAGGGGTGGTCATGCAAGGGCAGGTTGGGGGGGGGCGCAGGGACCTAAATCTCCTTCCGGAAAGCGACACGGATGTTGGTGCAGAGCTTGGAGAGTGCCTCGAAGAGCGGGTCGCAGAAGGTGTGGATGCAGAGGGAGTAGATGCGGCTGACGCACTGGATCTCGATCAGGTAGCTCTTGATGCAGGGCACCACTGCCCAGATGTGGCAGAAGGAGATGAGGGCAAAGAGGAAGCCCCAGACCACGGCCAGGGGGACGCCCAGGAGGGCAGAGAGCAGGCGGTAGCACCAGTACTTGCTGACAGTGAAGGTGGTGTAGCTGGTTTTCCAGACGCCGTCGAAGCTGTACGTTCCCACGGGCTCGGCTATCACATCCTCAAAATCCACCTGGGAGGAGAGAGGATGGAGGTGAGAGAGGCTTGGGGGCCCAGCAAGGGCTCCAGGAGCCCTGGGCACAGGGGCAGTGGCAAACACAGCCCATCCCTGCCCTTTTTCAGCGTCCAGGCTGTAGGCTGCCTGCTTGGTGCGAGGTGCTTTGTGCTAATAAAAATGCCACAGCCCTCTTGATTTACAGCTTGTTTATTTATATCTGCGGAGGCGAGGGGCTCCTCTGGCTGAGGAGGGTGAGGGATTGCAGGGTGCTGTGGTGTGCGGGCATCGCCGGTGTCACCGAACGACAAACGCTCCTAAAAGCCTCCCAACCATGTGCAGGGATCTCAGGGGGGTCACTCACTGCTAGGGACGGTGTGAGCCAAGTCATCGGTCCTGATGAACAGCACTGGCTTTCCTGGGGAAGCTAATGTGCCTGTTGGTACACTGATGTTAAATTGCAATATCCATTCTGGTTTTGGAAGCGCTTCGACCATAAAATCACCCAGCACTGTCTCTAATTCCCCGGGGTGGGCAGGGGCACCTGGAGCTGCAGGCAGGACCTGGCAGGGGGGTGAGCAGCCCCAAAACCCTGCTGCCCCGGTGGGCTGGGACTCAGCTGTGTGCACAGCTGCTGAGAGCCTGATGAGCTAATTAGGGAGTAATTAACAAAGGGAGAGGCAGGCTATAAGAGGAGAGCCTCTGCCTTGTTGCTTCTTTTGCTAATGGCACCCCAGAAGTGGGTCTGGAGGAGCAATGGGGACAGAGGCGGCTTGGGGACCACCAAAGGCAAGTGCTGATCTGTTGTTTGTCCTGGGAGGGGGCTTTTAAAGCTCTGCAAAGCCCCCATGGCTGTGCCACTGCCTCTCTCTTATGGGCTTTGGGGGATCCTGGGTAGAAAAGGCCGGGGTGGAGAAATGGGGCTGCTGTGAGGGGTTAGGGATGGGTTGGAAGGGGTTGGCATTGCTCCCCTGTGGTAACTGGTGGCACCCCCAAGCTGTGGAGCAGGTCATTGCCTGGCACTGGGGGTGAGCAGGCTGAAGGATGCCCTGGTCCTCACTACACCGGTAAAGGCAAGGTGGTGCTGCTGCAGCCCAGGGCTGTTCCCAGCCATTGAGGTGTGCCGGCATGGTGTGGCACAGATGTGGGGCATGCTGCTGGGAAGGTGCTGGAGATGCAGAGGTGCCTGGCAGCCATCCTTATGATGCTGAAGGGTGCCTATCTGCAGCTGTCACTGTCACAGCCCATCTGGGGGCTCGGTTTGACTCTGCTGTGGTTGTAGCTGTAACAGTGTTTTAACGCTTGCGTTTCACTGCTGAGCTCAAGGTCACAGCTGATCCCAAAGCTGCTGGAGCAAGCTTTGTCCCTGCTGGTGTGTTGTCCTCTCTGATCTCTCACTGCAGTTTTAACAAAGCCCTTCCTTCTCCTGTTCTCCTCTGGGCCAAAATTAACTTCAGCATAATGCTATCAAAGCTTAGGGTTGTCAGGGTGTGGGAAAATGCTGCCCCGTTGAGCTGCAGAGAGCTCCTTTTGACCAAAGCCAGGCAGAGGAGCCCTGCTGCACCCTCACGCTGTCCTGGGGGGAACGGGCTCCTCCTAAAGAGGACAAGGGGTCCCTGAACACGCTGGTGATTGTCAGGTCTTTAAGTTGGTAGCCTTTGTCCAGGGTTCCCTTTAAATCAGCCATGTGGGTTGACCTGGTGTTATTTTTGGCTCCCCACTGACCCATATGAAGGAGGGCGTCTCCATGCGATTCCGAGCTCCAGCCCGGGAAGCTGCAGAGCGTGTTCAAGGAATGGGAAATGCTACGTTAATGGGAGCTGTGCAGAGCCCATGGACACCCACATGGTGTCTGAGCACCCCAACAGCGAGGCTGGAGGTGCTGTGGGTCCCCTCCCTGCACCCCGAGGCCATGCCTCCTCTTGGGGTGCCCACATCAGGGACCCACAGCCCTGGCTGAGGCTGAACACGAGTGACAATACCGATGTACTGATTGTGTGCAGGAGGTGGCGATGCCCCTGACACGCAGCACGGAGAAAAAACCCTACCTTGACGACGTCCTCATTTATCCGCTTCGGGTCCCGGTCCACCAGGTCGATCTCCTTGGTGTGCAGGTCCTTGATGATGATCCGCTCCTCCAGCTCCGTCTGCTCCTCTGCCATGGCTGCGCTGCTGCCTGCAGAGCCGGGGATGGGGCAGGACCCGGGGGAGGGCAGGGTACGGGGGCACCGGCCCCCCCGCCACAGCAGCTGCCCTGCGCCCTGGCCCTGCTCCAGGCTAAAATTAATGTGGCACCTCTGAAGGGCCCTTAAAGGGGCTGTGCTGGGGACAGCCCCCGCTGCATCCCCTCTGGGGGTGGTGGCCCTCGGATGAGGGTGGCACAGGGGGTGGATTTGCACCCCCAAGCCCTACCATGCAGATGGGGTTTTGCCCTAACTTGGGGAGGCACCAGGGGAGAAACGATGCCCAAAGTGGGGCAGGAGTCCTCAAAAGCCTGAGAGAAGCAGTTGTTTATGAGAAGAATAGTGGTTTATGGGAGAATTAGTGATTTGTGAGATAAACAGTTGTTTGTGAACCTGTGAACATAGTGGCTCAGAGGAGGCAGGAATGGCACCTGTATCTACTGCCTGGAGAAGCCACCTTGTCCTGGGGTGGCCTTGGGGTCCCCCAGGGAGCCCAGAGCCAGGCTCATGGTGTCTGTTTGAATCCTCTGATTCCAGATTTTTTATATGGAGAAGCTTGAGGAAATCCAACAGCCTGACCCATGCATCTGGAGCAGTCAGGTTGTCTGTGCGAGCACTGGCCATGGTGATATTTAGTGTGTTAACGAAGATTTATTTAACTTGTGTTGTATTTTGATAATTCTCATCAGTCTCTTCAGTGCTCTCTTGCTTTTTTTTTTGTGAGCTGAAGATTTTTTTTTTAAAAGAAAAAACAAAGCAAACACAAACCAAAACAAATCCCTACCGAAACCCTGCAGCCACCCACCTGTTAAATCAGGGGTTTATAACCACTTCCATGTGCAGTGCTATTGGACTAACGGACCTCTCCTGACCCCTTCTGCAGGGAGAGAAAGGGCAGAAATGGGGGTGGGAAAGGGACCATGCACAAGTTTTGCAAAAGTAAAGCAGACGCCTATGGAGAGGGGACAAATTCTGTAAAGGAGGTGCCTATGGAGAAGGGACAAGCTCCTCAGCTGGAAGAGCACAAACCCAGCCTGGGTTCCGTTTTTATTTAAACAAAAACTCTCCCCGCTCTGAAGTGTTGAGTGTTGAGGCCAGGCCTGTGCTGTCACAGCTGAATTCCTGTCCAGTGCAACTTTGCGGCACCAGTGCTGTGGCAGCTGAGCGCCTCGGAGCAGCTTGTGAAGGGGTTTTATACAAAATCAGCTGTCTTCCCTTGCTTGACAGCACACAGGGGTGTGTGTGAGTAACCCCGTCTGATGGGGAGCAGCGCGCCTGGCCCTGCACCAGCGCCCGATTTAGGAGGCCCAGCTGCCGCTGGCAGCACTGTCCCCGCAGAGGGGTGCGACGCGGGGTTTTGCTCCGCTGCATTTTCCTCCCCCCATAGACGTGACCCCGGGAAGGGAGGGATCAGAGGGGGAACATGCGTCCCTGCTCCACCTCTGGCGGGGGATTTTGGGAGTGTGCGTCACTGCCTGGCTTTGGGCTGGGCTGGTCCTTGCTGTCTGCACCCGGCTTGGGTGTCACAGCGTGGGAGTAGGAAAATGTGACCACGCTGTCAGTGAGCCTCTCAAGTGTCCATGGGAGGGAGGAGGAATGCTCTGTGGCACCGTGGATGCTATAAATAAATATTTCGGGTGCTTTCAGACCATGAATGGGACAGTGTGTAAGAGCTTCTGGTGTGCAGGGGCCGCCGTGGTCTAATAGCAATATTAGTTTGTTAGCAACTAATGGCAACCAGAAGTTTAATTGCTGAGTATAGATGAATGATAGCAGTTTTAGCAAATATTAATGCTCCCCTGGGGATGGGTTTAGATGAGAGATGCACTGAAAGGGTTTCAAAGGGGAGCATTGCTTTTGGTAAACATCATCAAACCCTGGGCTGGAGCTGTGAACCTTCTGGAGGTCAGGTAAATAACCTGCTTCTGGGACAGCAAGCAAAGTGTATTTCTCTCGAGCAGAGATGGATAAAGCAGAATTAAAGCCTGCAGAAATCAAAGCTCGTATGAAAATAAATAGATCAGAATTGCAGTGAGTAGAGGAGGAGAAGAATCGAGGAGGGGCCCTGTGGGAACTGTGGAGAGGCAGAGGCAGGCACAGTGCGATGCTGGGGAATTGAGTCTGGGTTAAAGCAGGAGGAATGACTCGGTGCACAAGTCCTGACCTCGGGGTTTTTACCCTTCAGCTGGGTTTAGTGTGTGTAACCGGGAAGGTGAATGAGAGAGCGTTTCGGCTGGCAGATGGGAGCGAGGGATCGGCTCTGCCTCCAGTGCTCAGAGCAGAGCTCTGCTTTCATCTTGCTGTAAAAAGCAAAACCAAAACACCTTTCATGTCCTGCCTAGAAGCATCTCAGGTCCTCTGTTGCAGTTAAAGCTCAGTTTTAATGATCCTTCCCCAGCATTGCTTCTCCCTGAAAGCGAGAGCCTGCAGTGGTGGTGTGTGTTGGGGTTTTTGGTGCCCCTACCCTGTCACCCTGTGATGCTGTGGGTCAGGACCCAGCGGCTGGGTCTGCTCTGGGGCAGGTGAGTGCAGACTGGGTAGCACTGGGGAGGAGTTTTCCCTGTTTTGGGTACAAATCTGCTAACTTGGCCAGTGGATCTGCAAACCCCTGATCCTCACCTTGACTTGCTTTGCTGGCTTGGAAGAGCAATGAGTGAACCATGGGCAATGACGCTGTGCCATGTGAAGTTTGCACTGTGCATCACCTCGAGCTTCATGTGCAGATGCTGTTGACTGCTAAAGTTAACTATTTGGATCAAAATGCATAGGAGGAGCAAAATCCCCAGTAAGAAAACAGTTTAATGCAGACTTTTCCCTGTCACAGCCCTGGGATGAAAACCCTGGCCCAGCAGGACTGGTGCCCTGTCTCTCTGCAGTGGCACCGGGTCTCTGTGTTTAGGATCGTTCTGGCTGAGTCCTCAGGTGCTGATGAGCACAGAGGGCACCAAGGGCAGGGATTGAACGGCATTGCCATTTCAGAGGCAGCCCAAATAGGTGGCTGGCAAATAAAAGTTTGAGTGGGAGCTCTGTCTTGTTTAATATCAATTAAAATTAAATTTCACTGAGGGAGTACAGAAAAACACTCATTTATCATTCCAGTCTTCTCCTTAGTTTGTTTCAAGTCAAAGTGTTTTGCCCTTTAAAATAGAGAGAAAGTCCATGAATATCGAATTCGTGCCCCTAGGGATACACAACCACCTCATTTTTCTGCATTCCTGTCTCTGCTGTAAATGCTAGGGTAGGAGGTTGGGACCTTCCCGGTGGGATGGGGGTGCTCAGGGCACCTGGGGGCTGAGAAGGGGCAAGGTTTGGGCCACACAGCGGGAGCAACAAAGGCACGGGAGGACAGCTTTGGAGCAGCCCCTTTAGCTCGTGTTTGTATTGCCTCTTAATCTCGGCTCTTTTCTCTCACACCAGCACTCTAAATTCCTTTGGATTTTCATTTTAAAATAGCCTTGCTTGGCTTTTCCTTATCAAGCGAGAGGCTTTTCTTGATTTATCACTTGTGACATAACCAATTGAATAGTCTGATAATCACATTTAACTAGTGGGTGTGCTGCTGGTCACAACGAAGGTCCAAACTTGGCTTTGGCTGTTATTTGTTGTGGTATTATTATTTTTTTCTTCAATCAGAAAAGGTGCAGCAATAGAATAATGGTTTCCCTCTCAGCAAAGAAATGCTGCTGCGAGCTGTGAGGCCCATTAAACACGGAGCCAGGTAACGAGGGGGCACTGCCAGTGTGCAGAAGATTGCAGCGGTGGCTCAGGGGAGTGCTTTGCATCCAGGTACAGTGAGTGCAATGGGAAACAGGAAAAAACCCCGGAACTCTGCAAAAAAGCCAACTTTGCAAAGCTGCCGTGCCACAGGCTGCAGAGCCAAACCATGGACCTGCCTCTCCCTGGGCAGAGTGGGAGCCAAGGGGGTGCATGGCCGGGGGGGTGGGTTTTACCCTAATTACGCTATTCTCCTCCCCTGGCCTCAGCCTATTCTGGGGGGCCAGGGGCCAGCACCCCCCTCCATTGGCACTGTTCTGTCCCCAGTGATCCCCAGGAGCCAGGCTGATGCTGCGGCAGAGCAGGGGCTGGGAGCAGACGATGTGTCACACCCTGCTGCTTTATCCCTGTATTTTTAGAAATGGCTAATTTTGCTGTCTGGACTCCCTGTATTGTTTAGCTTTGCTGCGCAGCACCTATTGCCAGAATTACACAGAGCTCAACCAGAGCTGTAAAAATAAACCCACCCTTCAGTGCTGGCTGGGGGTTGCCATTTTGGCAGGGGCTGCCTGGCGGCTGGTGTGAAGCAGCACTTGGGGTCGGGGAAGCCAGGCCAAATTCGGGTTTCCAGTCCCATCAGCTGCAGTGGGAAGAGCTGGTATGTACATAGGGTTGATCCAAGGCTTGTTGGCCTTGGTGTGATGGTGGAGGCTGGCTGCGGTGGCCCCAGCATCTGAAGAGCCTTTTACTCCTCCACAGGGAATCGCTGGCATTTTCCCCTTTCCCACCTGGGAGGTTTTATGGTGCTCCAGCGCAGTGCAGAGGTAACGTGGTTTAAAGACAGGGGCTCACAAACCCAGTCCTGCTTTGGAAGGACCCAGGCTGAGCTGGGCCATGTCTGGATAAAACCCCCCTGTGAGGTGTTTGTGCGAGGCAGGAGGAGCTGAATTGCAGATGGCGGTGCCTGGTGCTGCTCATAAATTGGAACCGATGCTGTGCTCGGGTGATGGCAAAGACGTGTAGAGGGGCTTTTGCGGTGTTGATCAATATTGCCTGGCTGTGGCATGTCCAGGCGGCTTCTAATGCCTGCAGATAAAACCCTTTCCAGGCCTCTGAATAACCCAGTGGAGAACATTGATGCCTATTTCTAGCACGGGAGCTGTGCACATGAAAGGTTTCAGCTCCTCTTCCCTGCCTTGTTCTTGCTCTGACCTATTGTGTGCTGCTCTGTCTGCCAGGGGTTCTCCAAAGGCTAAATCCCAGGCGGGCTCAGGCTCCAGTGTAACTGCTGGCAATTTACCCCCAGAAATAGCAAT